TCCTTAGAATCAAAGGATACACAAAACAGTTCTGGAAGCTGACTCCTCAAAGATGAGTATCTCAAGGTAGGAGGGGGCTTTTGGTTTTGTTTTTTTGAGACAGAGTGTTATTCTTGTTGCCCAGGCTAGAGTGGAATGGAGTGATCTCGGCTCACTGCAATTTCGGCTGCCCAGGCTCAAGCAATTCTCCTGCCTCAGCTTCCCGAGTAGCTGGGATTACAGGTGTGCGCCACCATGCTTGGTTAATTTTTTTTTTTCATAGAGATGGGGTTTCACCATGTTGGCCAGGCTGGTCTTGAACTCTTGATCTCAAGTGATCCGCCCGCCTCGGCCTCCCAAAGTGCTGGTATTACAGGCATGAGCCACCATGCCCAGCCTAAGAGGGGGCTTTTGGAACCCAACTATTGATTCCCTTTAACCCTCATTTGACTTTCCTTTTTTTTTTTTTTTTAAGAGGTAGGGTATCCCTCTGTAGGCCAGGCTGGAGCACAGTGGTGTAATCACAGCATTGACCTCCTGGGCTCAAGAATTCTCTTGCCTCAGCCTCCCAAGTAGCTGGGGCTATAGGCGCGCACCATCACACTCAGCTAATTTTCTTTTTTTTCAAGACACAATCTCACTCTGTCACCCAGGTTGGAGTGCAGTGGCTCAATCTCTGCTCACTGCAGCCTCTGCCTCCTGGGTTCAAGTGATTCTCATGCCTCAGCCACCCAAGTAGTTCCTAGTAGCTGGGATTACAGGCATGCACCACCATACCCAGATTACTATTATTATTATTATTATTATTATTTTTGAGACGGAGTCTCGCTCTGTCTCTCAGGCTGGAGTGCAGTGGCACGATCTCTGCTCACTGCAAGCTCCGTCGCCTCCCGGGTTCACGTCATTCTCCTGCCTCAGCCTCCCAAGAAGCTGGGACTACAGGTGCCCGCCACCACACAGGGCTAATTTTTTTGTATTTTTAGTAGAGATGGGGTTTCACCACATTCACCAGGATGGTCTCGATCTCCTGACCTTGTGATCTGCCCGCCTCGGCCTCCCAAAGTACTGGGATTACAGGCGTAAGCCACCGTGCCTGGCCACTATTATTATTATTATTATTATTATTAGATTATTATTATTTTGAGATGGAGTCTCACTCCATTGCCCAGACTGGAGTGCAGTGGCAAGATCTCAGCTCACTGCAACCTCCAATTCCCAGATTCAAGCAGTTCTCCTGCCTCATTCTCCTGAGTAGCTGGGATTACAGTAGTGCACCTGGATATCTTTTTTATATCTTTTTTTAGTAGAGATGGGGTTTCACTGTGTTAGCCAGGATGGTCTCGATCTCCTGACCTCATGATCCACCCGCCTCGGCCTCCCAAAGTGCTGGGATTACAGGCGTGAGCCACCGCGCCTGGTCAATTTTTTGTATTTTTAGTAGCGGGGTTTCACTATCTTGGCCAGGGTGGTCTCAAACTCATGGCCTCAAGTGATTCGCCAGCCTTGGCCTCCCAATTCCAAGGCCCAAGTCCCCCAAAGTGCTGGGATTACAGGTGTGAGCCACCGCACCCGGGCTTCCCAGCTAATTTTTATATATTTTTTGTAGAGACAGGATCTTGCTATGTTGCCCAGGCTGATCTCGAACTCCTGGCCTTAAATGACCCTCCCACCTCAGCCTCCCAATTGCTGGGATTACAGGCATAAGCCACTGTGCCCAGAACCTCATCTGAGTCTTGAAACTAAAATTAACATTCCTTTGACTTTGTCCTTTGGGAGACTGTTTAATCAGTTCTACTGAGCAGATATTACTTATTTTACAATGTTTAAAACAAACAAACAAACAAAACCCTACATTTTTAACCCCTAAAAATAAACTATAGGAAAAAATATAAAGCTAACATTCTTCACAGGGATCTCACCACCTTACCAGGCAGCTGGGGTCTGCAGGATGCTGAAATATGCCCCCTGCATTCCACCCATTGCCTTTGGTATTAGTTTTCCCCAGGTCCTCCCTCCCACAGTGGCATAAGGGTTCTGGAACTTCTGCTCGACTTGCTCCTACCCTAGACTCTGTTTCTGGGCTCACGCAGTTTACTTTCTGACTTTGTCCACACTCCTGCCTCTGCCAGGACAACTCTCCTACCCATCTCTGCTTAACTTTGTCTCCTTTCTAGTATTTCACTCACGGAGAGATCTCAGTGAATGTTCCCAGTCAACTGCAATGGCCTGGCTCCAATGCCTCCTCCTCCAGAAAGCTTTCCTTGATCTCCAGCTCCCCAGCTCCCCAGCTCAAAGTCATCCCCCACGTCTGGAGCTCCCACAGCTTCTGGTGATGGTGAGGGGGCAGCAAGCTGAGGACTTCCCACGCTGCTCCATTACTAGTCACTTACATAGAGTCGTGCAGGTAGCATCTCAGGGTGATGAAATGTCCCTGCGGTGAGGAGCTAGGCCAGCCCACGCTGTTCCAGGCCCAGGTCCCCCACTCATGGCCATGGGCTCACTGAAGCCATAGCAACCCTGGGTTGAAGGCACCCTTGTTACCATTTCACATAGTCAAACACAGGCTCAGGGAGGCGATGCCACACCCAAAGTCAGTGGCAAGTAAGTGGCAGATCTCAGATTAAAATTTGTTTTTTAGTTTTGTGGGGTTTTTTATATCAGCCAACATCATGCTTTTTTTTTTTCTTTTTTGAGATTGAGTCTTGCTCAGTCGCCCAGGCTAGAGTACAGTGGTGCTATCTCGAGTCACTGCAACCTGTGCCTCCTGGGTTCAAGGAAGTTTCCTGCCTCAGCCTCCCCAGTAGCTGGGATTACAGGCATGTGCCACCACGTCTGGCTAATTTTTGTATTTCTAGTAGAGACGGGATTTCGCCATGTTGGCCAGCCTGGTCTCAAACTGCTGACCTCAGGTGATCTGCCCGCCTCGGCCTCCCTAAGTGCTGGGATTACAGGCATGAGCCACTGCGCCTAGCCTGAGCCACTGCGCCTGGCACATCTTGCTTTGACGGGACTAAAATTTGGATCTGCTAGGCGTGGTCACTCATGTTTGTATTCCGAGCACTTTGGGAGACTGAGGCAGGAAGATCACTTGAGGCCAGGCATTTGAGACCAGCCTGGGCAACATAGTGAGACCCCATCTTTAAAAAAAAATTTTTTTTTTGGCTGGGCGTGGTGGCTCACGCCTGTAAGCCCAGCACTTTAGGAGGCCAAGGCAGGCAGATCATGAGGTCAGTAAATCGAGACCATCCTGGCTAACACGGTGAAACTCCGTCTCTACTAAAAATACAAAAAACTAGCTGGGTGTGGTGGCGGGCGCCTGTAGTCCCAGCTACTCGGGAGGCTGAGGCAGGAGAATGGTGTGAACCTGGGAGGTAGAGCTTTCAGTGAGCTGAGATCACGCCACCATGCTCCAGCCTGGGCGACAGTGTGAGACTCCGTCTCTTTAAATTAGCAGTGGCACACACATGTAGTCCCAGGGACTTAGGAGGCTAAGGTGGGAGGATTGCTTGAGCCCAGGAGCACAAGGCTGCAGTGAGAGACAGAGAGATCCCATCTCTTAAAAAATAATAATAAAAATAATAGTTGGATCTGATGGATTGCAAAAATCAAGCGCAAAGCACTGTATGATTCTTCCGTGGGTCCCACCTGGACCAGGAGCCCTTTGAATTCAGGGCCTGGTGCTCCTTGCCCTCTGCCTATTCTCAGTACTCGGCACAGGGCCTTGCTCAGGGTGGGGGCTCCTGGGGGTAGAAGGCCAAGGGCTTTGGCTATAGTCCTGGCATCAAACTCGGGGTGTAATCCCAGTTCTTCCTCATAATATCAGGTTGGTGCAAAAGTAACTGTGGTTTTCACCATTAAAAGTATGCGGGATAGGGGGCTAGGGGAGGGAGAGCATTAAGAAAAATACCTAATGTAGAGCATGGCTTGATGGGTGCAGCCAACTATCATGGCACGTGTATACCTATGTAACAAACCTGTATGTTCTGCACATGAACATGTTACCCCAGAACTTACAGTATAAAAAAAAAAAAGAAAAAAAAAGTAATGTGACCCAGGGCAAGTCACTGCACTTCTCTGGACCTCAAGTTTCCCATCCGTAAATGGGCACCAGGCGGCTCTCCCTACCCAGTGATGAGGGAGAGAATCAAAGATCTCTCATGTAAAGAATGCCTCTCCTCCAGTGTCTAGCAGCCAGCACAGGGTCTGCACACAGTAGGCACTCAATATGTTATTTATGATTATGATTATTACTATCATTGTTATTTCAAAACTGCATTTGCTTTTTTTTTCCCAGGCTGGAGTGCAGTGGCGCAATCTCAGCTCACTACAACCTCTGCCTCCTGGGTTCAAGCAATTCTCCTGCCTCAGCTTCCTGAGTAGCTGGGATGACAGGCATGCACCACCATATCTGGCTAATTTTTTGTATTTTTAGTAGACAAAGGGTTTCACCATGTTGGCCAGACTGGTCCTGAGCTCCTGACCTTAGGTGATCCACCCGCCTTGGCCTCCCAAAGTGCTGGGATTACAAGCGTGAGCCACCGTGCTCTGCCAAAACCTCATTTCAGTGTTCCCAGTGCCCAGGATAAATTAAGCTTTGGATAAATCTGAGCTGTGCCCATTATCTGTGATAAAGAACTGAGTCATCCTCTCCTGCTCCCTGCTCCCAGAGACAGCACACAGTAGGTGCACAAAGATTGGGTGGGATTGGAAGGCTGCATCCTTTACACAGAGACACTGTTGGGGACCCATCCAGCTGGCAAGTGGGTGGGGTCAGATGATATCAAATGCTGGGATGCCCTGAGTTTGGGGCCAGGAGAGAATAATGGCTGGTGTAGGAAGAAGGTGCGGAGAATGAAACTGGATCCAAATGCTGCCTCGACTCCAAGAACCTCCCCTCCTGGGAATACACAGTGAGGTCTGGCTCCTAACAAGGCTTGAGGAAGGGCTCTGCCCACCCGTAATGGAACAGGCTCTGAGACCTTCAGTGTCCTCTGACCAACCCCTGGCCCAGCCCCTCCTACCTTCACATAGTCGCCGCCAGCCTCCGGCTCTCCAGCAGCCCTGGAAGGAGAGGAGACAAGTGAGCATCCCCAGCCCTGCTTGGCTCCCCAGATGCCAGTCTCTTGCCTGCCTGCCTGGGGCCAGCACCTGGCCCTTGGGACCCCAGCAGGCTTACCCTGAAGGCAGGAGGGGGCACTTATCCGCTGGCCTGGCTCCTCCACTTTCCAGCTGTGCACCCCTAGGCAAGTCCCTTCACCTCTCTGAGCCTGCATTTCGTATCTGTAAATCAGGAATAATGACAGTCTCTGCCTAATGACTTTGACTGGAGGACTCAGGGCTTAATGAACGTTACCTGCTTATTATGGAGCCTGCTTCCCGAACCACTGTCTTCACTGGACTACGGACACTATGCTTCCCTGGATTTCTTCTTCTCTCTGCCTTCCCCACCCCCTCCTCCCACCCCACCCCCTCCTCCCACACCACCCCCTCCTCCCACACCACCCCCATCATCCCTGACTCTAAACCCTGGAGGGCCCCAGGCTGGGGATCAGCCCCTGTCCTCCTACCCTGAGCTCACTTTCTAGGGTAGAGTGACCTAGTCACGGCCACTGCCAAGCACACTGCGGAGCCAATGCCGGTGCTAGAGGGCTGCGGAATTGACTCCGCCCCCAGGGAGGAGAGCCTGGAGAGGCCAGAGGCCAGAGGTGGCTATTTTTCCTTCCTTCCTCCTGAGAGCCACCATGAACCACTCCCCCCACTGCACTGCCTTAAATGCTACCCCTACCCTCAGGCAGCCTGGACCTGCCCCTCCATCCCCAGACTTGGAAACCCAACTACCTCCTGGACGCCTCCCCTTGGATATCTGAAGGCTATCTCCAACTTGTATCCAAAGCAGAACTGTGGCTCCTCCCCGCCCCCTCCCCATCGTCCCCGGCTCAGCTGATGTCAGTTTCCTCTTTCCTGCCACTTTGGCCAAAAACCATATGGTCCTTTGTGCCCCCTCTCTTCCATTCAGCTCCACACCCAGTCCACCAGGAAATCCTGCCACTCCACCATCAGAATCTTCTCCGCATGTCCACCCCGTCCCCAGAGTGGGGCCACCCTCGTGTCTCCGGTGGAGCAGAGGAGCCTTCCCTCGGGCTCCGTGTCCACTCTCACCCACAGTCAGCTTCTGCCCCGAGATCAGAAGGCGCCCAAGCTTACAACCTAAGCAGATCATGGCACACACGCCATCCTCAGCCTTTCAGCGGCTCCCATCTCTAGAAGAACAAAATCTAAACTCCTCTCTGTGGCCGTGCAATTTATCATCCAAACCAGAACTTTTCTTCCTTTGCAAGAGTAAAGAGGGTACCACGATTATGCCAGAAAAACAGGCAAAAATTGGCTCATCTGTTTCCTAACCCACAAGGCCCTGTGTGGCCTGCTGGTACCCAACGGCCACCCCACCAACCCTCCAGCCTGTCTCCCTTGCACCTCCTGTCCCTTCTTCTGCCTCTGCCCCACCCTCCTTGGCAACTTGTTCCGGCCACAGGGCCTTCACACTTGCTGTTCCCTCTGCCTGGAATGCTCTTCCCCAAGGGCTTCATGAAGCTTGTCCCTCCTCCCTCTTTATTCAGGGCTTTGCTTAATGTCACCTCTTTGGAGAAACCTTCCCTGACCTCCCCACCTCGAATAGTCCCTCGTTCCTTCACTCTGTGTTCCCAATCCTACTTTATTTTCAATTTCTGCAATTTCTGTCTGAAATGGCCACTTTATATTTAATTGCTGACTTAATTATCTGATGCCCTTATGAAAGTGTTGACTTTGTCTAATTCACCATTGAGACCCAGTCCCCAACAGAGGGCCTGCAGGAGCTCAAGAAATATTGCTTAAAGAAAAATTAGCCGGGTGTGGCAGCAAACGCCTATAATCCTGGTTACTTGGGACGCTGTGGCAAGAGAATCACTTGAACCCAAGAAGAAGAGGTTGAAAGAAAGCAATATTGCTTAAAGGAATGTATGAATAGTAAACAATGTTAATTGTTAATCGCTGTCATCATTAATTTTGTTGGCTGGGCCCAGGTTCTCTGGCTAAGAAAGGTCTCAGCCTTCCTATCTGCAAAATGGGGAGAGGAGGTCAAATATTGGACCTCCTCCTCAAATACAGGAGCTTCATATTTAAAAAAAAAAAAAAAAAAAAAAGGAAGCCGAGATAAAAAATAAAATTGTGGGTTCCCCCAATCCTAAGGCCAAAAGCTCCTCCTCCTTGAGACGTTGTCTGATAGCCCTCCCTGTTCTAACATTCTAGGGTTCTTCATCGCTAATCTTCTCTCCTAAAAAGCCCTAGCTGGTATCTAACCACAGTCCCTCAAGCTACAGCCCAGCAACAGTAGGCTTTTGGGCTCTCTCTGTCCAGCAGCAGTGGAGCGAGCTAGAGTAGGCACCCCTCCCCCACCCACCTCCGCCCACTCTTCCCGGGTGAGGCGTCCCATCCCAACATTTCCTGCTATTCAGGCCCGGAAATCCTCCCACTGCTGGGAACATATTGGCCAGGACACTGGATCAACCCAGCGCTTCCTCCTGCTTCCTGTACTTCCCCTTGGGCTCTGGAACAGGGGTAGAGCCTTGGAGACAGGGTGCCTGCACAAGAGATCGGGTCTGACTAGGGTGGCCAGAGCCTATAGAGATGCTCAGGGCAGAGGCCCAGGTCAGGGAAGCTGAGGCTCTGGGGCCACTCTTCCACCCCATGGCCTCACCATGGAGTGGCGCTACAACGCTCTGACATGTCCAAGACACAATGACCATGCCCAGTTACGATCTGCTACCATCACTTGCCTGGACTATCACCACCACCTCCCCCTGGCCTCCCTGCCTCCATCTGTGTCCCTGCGACCTATTCTCCCCGCACAGCAGCCACAGCAGTACTGTTCAAATGCAAGTCAGATCACAGCTTTCCTCTGCTCCAACCCACTTGCGTGGCCCCCAGCTTCACTTACAGTAAGAGCCAAGGTCTTGGAAATAGCCTTGCACACTGACCTCATGGCCCACGACATTCCTCCTCACCTGTGCTGCTCCATCTCCCCCGCCCCACCTCAGGGTCTTTGCACTTCCTATTCCCGCTGCCTGGAATATTTTCCTCCAGACATCCCCTGGGTTCCCTCCCTCCTGCTCTTGGCTGTTGTTGTTGTTGAGACGGAGTCTCACTCCATCGCCCAGGCTGGAGTGCAGTGGCGTGATCTTGGCTGACTGCAACCTCCACCTCCCGTGTCCAAGCAATTCTCCTGCCTCAGCCTCCCAAGTAGGTGGGATTACAGGTGACCACCACCACACCAGGCTAATTTTTTGTATTTTTGGCAGAGACGGGGTTTCACCATGTTGGCCAGGTTGGTCTTGAACTCCTGATCTCAGGTGATCTGCCTGCCTCAGCCTCCCCAAAAGTGCTGGGATTACAGGCATGAGCCACCATGTCTGGCCCTTCAGTTCTTTTTTTTTTTTTTTTTTTTTTTTTTGAGAGACAGAGTCTCGCTCTATCATTTAGGCTGGGATGCAGTGGTGAGATCATGGCCACCATAGCCTCGACCTCCTGGCTGGAGCGATCCTCCCATCTCAGCCTCCCAAAGTGTTGGGATTACAGGTGTGAGTGACCACACCCAGCCCCTCCTTCAGTTCTTCACTAAAATGTCCCCTTCTCAGCAAGGCCTTCTGGCCACCCTTTCTGAAAGTGTGATCTTCCCCAACTCCCACATTCCCTTCCCTGCTTAATTTTGCCCTGACCCCTCATCTGACTTAGCACACATTTCCTCTCATGTAATGACTAGCTCCTCTCACTACAATGTCAGCCCCACGAGGACAAGGGTTTATGTTTCTGTCTAGACAATGTTAGGAACCATCAGGAACTTAGTAAATATATTTTTTTGAATGAATGAATGAATGAATGAATGAGTAAATGAGTGTCACAGCAGCCCCCTGCAGCCCCGAGGACAAAGTCTAGTCCTCCTGGCTGGGCCATCTGTGACCCAGCCTCTGCTGGTCAAATCCCTTCTCTCTCTTCTCCCTTCCTTGCACTCTGGCCTTCTCAAATTTCCTCCAAAGAGCTCGACCCCCTGCAGCCTCAGGGCCTTTGTACGTGCTGTTCCCTCTGCCTGGAATGTCCTCTCTCCCTTTTGGCTAGGGTTGGTCATTCCTATGCAGCCTTCAGAGTTCAGTTTGCTTGGGGATTTCTAGAAAACTCTCCCTCCCATTGTAATGATCAAATCCAGGAATCAAACCATCCATTTGTAAAACTCAGCTCCACTAATTAATTCCTTTATTCCTCATTTTACAAACCTAAAAGAGACTTCTCCTGCCGTATTAGTGGTGAAATCAATTAATAAATAATAGTGACAATTGAGCTAAATCAGTCCCATTAATCATCAGCATTAATTATTTAAATAACCAACCCCTTTCACTGCCTGTATTAACTGATTTGTTCTGATAACTGATACCACTTACTGCATACATTAGCTTAATTAATTGGATTAATGAGCAGTAATTAAAGCCCATTATCCTTCTTTTCCCCCAATGCATGTTTAAATCTAAGCTTTACCTTCAGGGCCTTCATCCTGGGCCAGAAGGAAGGATGACATTCCCCCAGAGGCCCTGTAGGAGAAGGGGTGGGGAGAGGCTGCCATCCTGCCCCACCCTGGCCCTCTTTCATGATAGTTGCCTGGTCCTCTGCAGAGGCCTGTCTGCTCTCTGTCCCTGTCTGTTCCCTTGGGCCTTGAGGCCTGGACATATGTCCTCAAGTGGAGACCTCCCCAAGCTCTGCCACCTGCCTCTCAGCTTTTCCACTGCCCCCGATCCCTGGCTCCCTGCCTTCCCTCTCTGAAGCTCAACTTTCTCATCTGTAAAGTGGGCACAGTATAACTATCTCCCCAGAAGGGCATGAGAAGGAGGGGTGCAAGTTCCCTGGCCCATGTGGGGCTCCTCTTGCTGTCCCAGCCTCTACCCACGAAGATCGGCCACCCTCCCACCCTGCCCCTCCTGGGGGGCTGGGCTGAAGTTGCTTTCCTCCCCCTTTTTTTTTTTTTTTTTTTTTTTGAG